GCACACCTGCACACACCCACACACGTGTGCACGCCCGCATGTGCGCGCACACGCACGTGCATGCACATGCACACTCGCGCGCCTGCACACACCCACGCGCGCGCGCACACCTGCACACTCACGCAGTGCACACACTCACGCACACACCTGCACACTCACGCACGTGCACGCACACTCACACTCATGCGTGCGCACACCTGCACACATGCCACACTCACACATGCACACCTGCACCCGCACACACAAGTGTGTGCACACCCGCACACTCACGCAATGCGCACGTGTGCCTGCACACACCCACACGCGCGCGCACCTGCACACTCACACACATGCACACACGCACCTGCACACACCCACACACATGTGTGCACACCCGCACACTTGCGCGCGCGCTCACACGCGTGTGCACGCACACTCACGCACGCGCCGTGGCAGAGGCCCCGGCCAGGCCAGCCCGCCGCACGGTCCGCCGAGCTGGAGTGGGGACAAGAGCCCAATCGGATCGAAGGAAGTTTAAGCCAAACGACTGCGCTGCCGCGCCACGCTCCCATTTCTCACCCGGTCTCATCACAAGGGCTATCTAGACACATTAACCAAACGCACTTTAAGAGGACCAGGTCCATATGCTGGCGGGGGCCTCACCGCCGTGGGGAGGCCTGTTCCGAGGCCTGCGGGGGCGGGACAGAAGCCCGCAGCCGGGAGCCTCCTCTGTAGCCGCTGACCGTCTTAACGAACCCAGGCCATTACCTATGTGAGAAGCTCTCGGGCGGTGACCGCCTGAGGCCTGCAATCGATGTCCTTAATTTTTTTAATGCATGGATTAAAAAATATGTATCGTCATGTGTGGACTGTGGTGGTAAACACGTGCTGTGCGGTGTATAATAAATCATACCAGTTCAGGTTTCAAAGCGGGAAATCTGTGTCCAGGACTGAAGTCTGTCCTGCGTTCCTCGTTCCTCGAAGATGGCCCAAATTCACACGGGGGCAGACAGGGAACCGACAGCTGGGTGAGCCCCAGGCGTCAGCAGGGCGGATGCTTCGGAGGCCTGAGGCCAGCCCTGGGGTTCCCTGGGAACACCCTTACATTTTTCTTTGTTCTGGATTTATCAGGAGAAGCTCAGCCTCAAGGCCCTTAAAATACAAACTCCCCCCACCCCCACACAAGGCCCTCCCGCCTCCCGCTCCAGCGGAGCCAGTGGGGTGACCCGACCAAACGGAGATTCAGGACCCCCTTAGCTGCCGGCGACACGCGACAGCGTCTGGTCTGCCCCCCGCTGGGCGAGCAGCCGGGAGACACCGGAGCGGCGGAAGCGCGCGGTTGCCATGGGAACCTGGACACTGCTCCGCGGGACCAGCAGGGGGCCTCCGAGCTCCCGGAAACGGGGAGGGAAACCCCAAGGGGCGCTCCCGCAAGGAAGGCCCCCAGAACCCGAGCTCCCTCCCGCAAGGGCCGCCCTGGTGGCGAGGGGTCACTCTCAGGCTGTCCCGGCTGCCGCCCGAGTCCATCCCCGCCTGGGAGTGACCCACATGGCGCCCCAGGCCTCTCTCCTGCTGCTCGGGTCAACAGTGCATCAGCAGAGCCTGCGCTGTCTCCCCCGAATCCCCTCGCGCCCACCTTCTTCCACACACACACAGAGCCAGAGCCCGTGGGCAGACCTCGCGCCTCACCCCGCGCCAGGGCCGGGCACTGCGGCGATCCTGCCTCTTCTGTCTCCACGCCATCTCCGGTGAAATCTTGCATCCCGGAGGCTCTGGCCAGCACCCCAATATTAGACCACTTCCTCAACTACTCCCCGCAAAGAAAGGAGCACTCACGTGGGGACGTGCGCCACGCGCGTCAGAATCAAGGGGAAAGGCAAAAGTTTTTTCTCACGTTGCAACATTTTTTATTTTCTCGCTCATGAAGTTCTCTCAGGATCCCACAACCCCGTCCAGGCAAGGCAAGGCCAAAGGTTGGGCGTCCGCCCCCGCCCCATAAAGAGGGGAAGCCTCCTTCCCCAGAGAGGAAGGGCGTCACCCCCTCGCCAGCGCCCCCCTCGCCAGCGCCAGCGCAGGAAGAGCCGCTG